TTTGTACGTATAGGTTAGCTTAGAAGATTAATATGAAACAAGAACTTCTATTGACAATCTATCCTCTATTAAAAGTATCGATATTTCCGCAAACAAGTTCACAGGCGGCATTCCCGATAGCATCAGAAATCTGAAAGGTATCGAAAAGGCTAACTGTGTTCTATCTGTTAAGTAATTGCTGAGATAAATTTCGACAATTAAACATTTATGAAAATCAAGAGAATTTTGCAAAATGTTTGCATCTGATTTTACAAAAACGAACTATTGGTTGAGATTTCACACTTCAGACATTTATCAGTTTATAAAAAACAAGTAGTCTTATTTATTTAGATATCAGACTTCAACACCACTTCTTATTAATCAGAAGTGAAATAAGATTTCAGAGTTCACACCTCTTAAAACTCAAACGTTTTTAGGCGTTTTAACAAGTTTTTTATAGGACATTTTGATAAGTATCCTATAAACCCATCTTTTTCCAAGACATTTGTGTTTATAAGACAACTTTTCAAATAGTGTAGCATAAACTAGTTAATACGTCCTAAACTTTTTGTTAAAACGCCTAGAAGCATCTTATAAACTTATTGTAACAGTTTTAGATAGAACATTTTTTCGTTTGATTTTATAAACTTAAGTCATATAAAATATATTTTTCTAAAACTCTTTTTAATTTAAACGTTCTATAAAATTGATATCGTTATAGTGTATTTTCAATTACATGAAGCTGGTAGTTGCAAAATGGTCCATGTAATATTGATTGCTCGCAAATTGGTTGATTTAATATTGATCGATTGCTGGTATGGGTATGAATCCAATCGCCATCTAGCATTGAATCCACACAAATTGATCAGCACCAAGGAATTAAATATGGATAATGTTTGGCAATTTATCGTTTTGAGAAAATACAAAACCACATCTCCACTCATTCTCCTACATTTAAGATAGTGTAGGGACTCAAATGCATAGAAATTATTAGTGTAACAAGCAAAATGATACATTTGTTACTACATGTACTTTCATCACTTTCTTCAATAATTTCTTCAATGTCGTAAGTATATATGTAATCTGATATCACGTTTTTCATCACCATAATCCAACATCTATCGAGATTGAGCAAGAATCTATCAAGATCGGTCAAGAACCTATTTATTGACTTGGTGTGTGTTTATGTGTGTAAAACCATAACCTACCACCTTCATTTTATTAGAGAGAATGATTTTCCTTGATTGATTAAACACAATACAATCACTTAAATATACAACATATGGGCCATGGGCCAAACACTATACGGGCTAATAAACTAAGCCTAATATACAATGTAATCTGCTAACATCCCCCCGCAGTTGGAATGTCCGAATTGCGAACGTTCAAACTGGATTTGAAATCCGAAAATAGAGAATGAGATAGCCCCTTCGTGAAGATGTCTGCGTACTGAGAACTCGAGGGGACATGGAGGACCCGAACATGACCAATGGCAACTTTGTCACGAACAAAGTGAATATC